ACTATGTAAGTATTTCTGCTTTAGCATATCGCATGAGTGTGAATGTTGCCATGACATCATGCTTAACATGTGGCTAGATGCTTATGTGTTAAACTGTTTTGAGTGCCTGTGGGTGAAGGTTGGGTTGTTTGAGTTGGAAAAACTCGTTGAAATCCGTATTTTAGCCTACTTGCGAGTAGCAAATTCCAAAGCATTTTCAAACCGAACGGATATGCAATGTTTATTTCCAAATTAGGCAATCTAGTCTATACTTGTTTGTTGCGCGCATAACGTAGTAATTCTAGGCTAATAATTGGAATAAGAACACATAACGTTTTCAAAACTGGATATCACGGTTAGTAGAGGCCGGTCTTCGGACCGGGCGAAAGGGGGTGCTCATAGCTGACCTTCCCCGATCGTACCCAAGCTCCCGAGCCGAGATAACTCCGGTGATGACGGACATGTGGCCTTCGGCACCGAGTCAGGGTTTCCTAAATTCTCCCATAAAAAATATTTAGATGGCGACTCTGTATCTGGCAAAGCAGTCCATGTTTGGCACTACTTTTTCAAAAATCTGTTTCTCAAAATGATTTGCCAGATTTGGACTCTTTGGTTCAGACTTAGAACCGTGACACAAATCGAGTCCGAACTGTAGCATGAGGCCCACGGGCGCGTCTACACTTGGCCAAGGCGTAGCAATGCCGAATAGCGGGAATGCCAAAGTTAAGCCTAAAGCGGCGGTTTAGAGCGATAATTCCCATCACGATCCCATAGAAGTTGATGTTGGGTTGGGAAGGGATTAACCCCCAATGGCAAAGCACGGCCCTAAGGAGAGGGTGAAGGGAAAAGCGGACCCCACCCTCTGCGATTGATAGAAGAGGGAAGACGATCGTGGTTTCATCAACCCTCTCCATATCGAGGGTGCCATCTGTCACAAATGACAGACGGACATCATCAGGAATGGAAAAATGACGTCGGAAGCCAGAAATTCGATCCGGTGAGAGGAGATATTTTAAATGTTTCGCCATTCCCCCAGCCAATAGGATTATGCTAAGCCAAAAAAAATGAAGCAGAGAAGAAGAGAACTTACAAGAGGCAAAGGAGATAGAGAAGAGTAGGAAGTTGTAGAGGTAGTTCGGAAGGCAATCCAGCGACGGGCGTCTAAAAGCATGTATGCATTTGAAAATACGTCGAAATTTTTAAATCACAATAAATAGAAATGTACGAAGAGGCGGGAAGTTGAAATGACAACCGAGAAGCGTGTGTATAGACATTTGCATTGGAATACGGTCAGCCACCAAATTTTGGCTTTGACTCTTCAAGTTCGAAGCCAAACATTCCAGCCAATTGTCGTTAGTGGAGTGCTTGGGGGGCAATTGTAGAGGCCGAGAAGAGGGAGTCATAGAGATTCCAGATAGCCGAATCTCGGAGAGTCGAGATTCGAAGCACTCGGCAATTGGCTCGCAAGCTCAAATCCAATCCTATTCGGCCAAATAACCGATTAGGCAAGGGGCCAAGTGAAGGTCGATCTATTATAAAATGCGCCGAATATGAGTTGGAAATGGACCGAATCCCGAGGCCCATGGAAGAAAAGATATAAATAGAAGAACATCAGTCATAAAGAGGTATGTGAGAATTGTTGTGCTTAACTTAGAATACAAGCATTCTTGAGTGTGGATTCTAACTTGTCTGTTGGAGTGCTAATTCCGGCACCCCCGACCGGAGTGTTTTTTCCTTTTCAGGTGACCAGAAGAGGATCACGAGCGTTCTCTAGGATCAGAAGAGTATTTCCAAACCACTTCTCCATACCCCATAAAGACAGGACCAAACTTGGTACCTGGTCTGTCTTATGTGTCTTATTGGGTTATAGTCTCACTCAAAAAGGTTATCGCTGTTATGACCCTATTTTTTGTCGCTTTTATGTCTCCCGCCATGTTTCCTTTCTCGAACGTCTATCTTACTTTCAACTTCCTCCTCTCACCACCCAGTTTCCAAAGAGGATTTGGTTCATATTGATCCATATCCTTTTGAGGTCCCGTCTGCTGAGTACATCTCCACAGTTCGTCCTGCGCTTGTTCCATCTTCTCCTCCTGCTTCACCTTTGGCTGCTTCTTCTTCTTCGGCTTCTTTTCCTCCTCCGTTGTTAGTTTATTCTCATCGCAAGACTCTTCCTCCACCAATTATCTCTACCCTTGTTGCTGATCCTTCTGCTTCTGACGACTCTGATCCTGCTGCACATTGATATCCTCCTCGAGCATGTCATCCTCCAAACAGGTTGGGTTGGTCTAACACTTGCTTTTCTACTTCCTATCGTACATTTTTGTCTGTTATTCACTCTTTGCATAACCTCAGTCTTACAAAGAGGTCTGTCAGGATCCTCATTAGGTTCAAGCTATGGAGGATGAGTTGTTTGCTCTACAGAAAACTAGTACTTGGGAGCTAGTCCCTTTGTCTGCTGGTAAGAATCTGGTTGGTTGCAAATGGGTCTACAGAGTCAAGACTCATTCTGATGGTTTCTTGAGTGCCACACAGCTTATCTGGTTGCCAAAGGTTTCTCCCAAGAGTATGGTATTGATTATGAGGAGACATTTGCTCCTGTTGCCAAGATGACTATTGTCCATACTTTGATCTCTATCGCTATTGTTCATTCTTGGCCTCTTTATCAAATGGATGTTAAGAATGCTTTTCTGAATGGCCATCTCACTGAAGAGGTTTAAATGCATCCTCCCCCTGGTCTTCCCCATTCCTCAGGCCAGGTTTGTTGTCTTTAGCGTGCTCTGTATGGTCTGAAGTAGTCTCCTCGTGCTTGGTATGATTGCTTTCAGACTGCTATTACCGAGCTTGGGTTTCATCCTTCTGTCTCAGACTCTACTTTATTTCTGAGACATACCTCAGCTGGTTTTGTTGCTCTCTTACTATATGTGGATGATATGATCATCACTAGCTCTTACTCTTCTACTATCTCTGAGGTCAAACAGTATCTCTTTCGTACTTTCGAAATGAAGAATCTGGGACCATTGCGGTATTTTCTTGGTATTGAGGTAGCTTCTTCTCCCAAAGGCTACTTTCTGTCCCAAGCTAAGTCTGCTAACGAGGTTATCCATCGCATCGGACTTACTAACACTAAGCTTTCTAATACCCCCATTGAGCTTAATGTGAAGCTCAACACTATTGATGGTGTTCCTCTGGATGATCCTACGTTATATCGCAAGCTTGTGGGCTGCTTAGTCTATCTGATAGTTACTCACCCTGATCTTGCCTATGTTGTCCATGTGGTTAGTCAGTTTGTTTCTGCTCGCTCTACACATTGGGCTGCTTTACTTCGGATTCTTCGCTATCTTCGCAGTATTATCTTTCAGGGCTTGCTATTCTCTTCTACTTCTTCCTTTGACTTGGTGGCCTATGCTGATGCTGATTGGGCTGGTGATGTTAATGATCATAAAACGACTTCTGGTTTCTGTATGTTTCTTGGCAATGATTTTTTGAAAAAGTAAGAAACAAACTGTTGTTGGCCGTTCTACTGTCAAAATTGAGTATCGTGCTATGGCTCATGCTACTGCTGAAATTATCTCACTTTGTTGTCATGACCCGAACCCGCCCCCATGGGTTAAGGACATAACCGGCCAGTAATTACGAGATTACCTATGGCCTCAAATCAAATAAGACATAACTCATCAAAGTAAAGAGGCCAAACGGAAGCAAATTTAAAACTTTGTCCATAGAGCTGTGCTTACATGGCACATCATAACAAACCATACATATACATATTAATAACTCACATCAGAAAATACAGTAACATAAAATTTTTGTACAGACAGGATCACTCAAGTCTAGGTCAGCCAATCAAAACTATATACAAACGTATCCAAAGTCCTCGCCAACATGACAAAATATAATAAGATAGCAAAAGGGCGAAGACGAGTCTCATGCGCAAGACGTAAGGGTTGACTCTTCAAAACCTTGGTTGTTTCACACAGACTTCACTGAGGCTGGGTTTGGACCTCTCTTGGCTCACCTATAAACACATGAATGAGCGTGAGCGAAAGTCCAGTGAATAATATCAAATAAAAAGTTACACAAACAGTATTTAGAACAACGTGCTTCAAACGGCCTTAGGCCCAATTCGTATTTCTATCTAGCATATATATACATATAGGTCAAGTGACTGTGGTTCCAAACACATCATACGGCCTCGGGCCCAATCCATTCGTGTCATACGGCTTCTGGCCCATTCATTCATATCATTCATGTCAAACTGACCTCTGGCCCATTCATTCTATCTTTCATGTCAGACTGGCCTCCGGCCCATTCATTATTTCGTTCATGTCAAACTAGCCTTTGGCCCATTCATTCATTCATGTCAAACCGGCCTTCGGCCCATTCGTTCATTCATGTCAAACTGGCCTTCGGCCCATTCGTTCATTCATGTCAAACTGGCCTTCGGCCCATTCATTCATTCATGTCAAACTGGCCTTCGGCCCATTCACTTATAGCAAACGTTTGTCCACAATTCAAATCAACAAACTCATAAAACTTATAGAGAGATAAGTGTCACACCCCAAACTCGCCCCTAAAAGTTTGGGCATGATCATTTCTGAAACGGACCTAAAATTCAGTACACATACATATGGGGCCTGAATGGAAGCATTAAATATTACAAAATAACATGAAATAAAAAGAAACTACACCCATTGAGCGACCACTATCATGCCAGGATCACAAACAGTGAATCAGATGATAAATATTTACATACACATATACAACCTCGCCCCTTGTTTGGGCATATAACAAAAACATTGGAACTTCAACATATTATAGACAATCAGAGTATAAGCCAAAACTTAGCAAACTTCACAAAAACGGGTAGGTTTCACCCAAATGCTTGGACACACAGAGGCTGACAAAGGGAGAGACGAACATCGAGGGTTAAGGCTGACCTCCAGATTTGCTACCTACAGAATTAGACAAAATACAGAGTGAAACAATCTCAGTGAATAATAGTACTTTAATAATTCATTGATTAACTTGAATTACAATGCATATCAATGCGTACATAATGCAAAATACATGTAGTTAATTTTATCCTGTAATTGTTTCCAGAACGGCCTTGGGCCCAGTTTTCAAACAGAATGGCTTTAAGCCCTTGAACAGAGTGGCATTGAGCCCTTAAACAGAATGGCAATCAGCCCTTTTCATGTATGTATGAACTCAAGAGGTGGCTCGCACGGATTCTAGAGGTGACTCGCATGGCAGCACTTAGTTTCGTGCAACACTTTGTTTCATACTAACAAATCATACAAAATGGCCATAGGCCCAGATGTCACAGATTGGCCATAGGCCTCACATATGCCACAGAACGGCCATAAGCCTCATAACTTTCACAAAACGGCCATAGGCCTCATAACTTTCACAGAACGGCCATAGGCCTCATAGCTTCCACAAAACGGCCATAGGCCTCATAACTTTCATAGAATGGCCATAGGCCTCAGTTTACATATGTATGGACTCAAGAAGTGGCTCACACGAATTCTAGAGGTGGCTCGCATTGCAGCACTTAGTTCCGTACAACACTTTGCTCCATACCAGAAGTTAATAGGTCTTAAAAACAGAACAATTCATATCACATCATGGCATAAATAGAACAATTAACCAGAACAGAATAATCTCAGGTTCATAAGAATATTATTCGATAATAGTGTTCATAAGGTACCCCATGGTTTCTTACAAGTTGACATAATTACCTTATATGTATCAGAACTTAACAATGCTCATTGACAGAAGACGCATGTATCATTACAGTACGATTAGTAGGGACAGAATAATTCACCTTATAACGTGAGTCACATAATAAAGGTATTGATTTCCAATTCGTTCCTCAGGTTGAGTCATTCATAGGTCAATCCGATATTTATCATAGTTCCTCAACAGTCAGTAACATATAAAGCAACCTGTAGTTTTATTTGATTATTAATCCCGATGAACATACTAGGCAGATATCTATCTCATAAGACATGTATTGCATCATACAAACTATAGAAGTCCCTAATAGGACCTTCAGAATCTCATGTTTCCGGTAAACGGGGTTTACATTTTTAATGCCTTCTTGTCAACTCGTTGCACAGTGTAGACACCCCATTTTTGACCGTCCTCAAGACTTGGACGTCACCGTTTGAACACTCGGTGATCATCCATGTTCATGTTCGTTTTGAGTTCCCGGAGGTCTTGGCTACGCGCCTCGCCTCAGGATCTCTCAACTCGGTTGTCTTGTGCTTGGTTGGACCAAACACTTGTTGGTTTTTGCTTTGGAAGGTAGAGAATGGCTTGTTGGCCATCCCCACGCCTCACCGGCTATGGCTTGAGGCCACCGGCCGTGTCTCCTTGCCACCGGCCTTTGGTGATGGCCGGTCAACACTTTGTGTGGTCGGCCGACAATTTATTTGGCCGATGAACTCCTTTTCTCCTTTTCTGGCCGGTACCACCTTTTTGCCTTTTTCAGGCATTATGCATGCCAGCTGGAGTGCACGGACCTGTCCTCCATACACGTGTATGGAGGAATTTGCACCCTTTGCACCCTTTTGGTCTAGCTTCTTGAGGAAGCTTGGACCTTTGTCTTAGCTTCCTCAAGAAGCTTGGACCCCTATCTCAGCTTCCTCAGGAAGTCTTGGCCCTTTTGCCTTAGCTTCTTTAAGAAGCCTTAACCCCTTTTGTTTAGCTTCTCTTGGAAGCTTAGGCCTTTGCCTTGTCTATATAAGGAGGCCTCCCTCCTTCTTTGAGGAGGTTCAGCAAATCAGATATATATAGCATATATACACCACTCTCTCTCTCTCTATATCTCCCTCTCTCTCTTCATTTCTGTGTGTTAGAGGGCCTAAAAGGGTGTTTTGTTCTTAGTTTTGCACTAAAACACCTAGTATTACACCATACTTCGGTTTTGGAGGTCTTGAGAGTTTGTTCTTGGAGTTTTGAGCTGGTTTTGATCAGAAGAAGGGGGTTGGACTTGCTGTTCTTGAAGTGTTCTCCAAGGGTAACACTATTGCTTTATATTCCCCATTCTTGCACTAGATTTTAACCCCCTTTGCATGCTATTTTGAGCTTTGTGTATAACATATAAAAGTTCTGTTTTTTTGTGTTTAAGATACTTCATTAAGGTCATTTTGGTGTTGGGGGTCGACCTCCCCCTCTTAGGCCTTGTTTGGCCCTTTTTGTGCTTTTTTTGTTGAGCTTTGGGAACCTTTGTGCATTGGCCTTCTCACCACTGAAATCCAAAGGATTTTTAGTGGTGAAGAAGAGGTTTTGAGGTCTTGCATAGGGGAGGGACACCCCTCTCCCTTTGTGTCTCATTTGTTCATGTTTTTGGCTCATAAGGGTAGCATGCATGTTTAGTTGTTTTTGGCTCCATTTCAGAGGTTTTTGGGTGATATTTGGTCATAATATACCCCTGTTTTTGGTCAGATTAATGCCCCCTTGCATGCATAATATACTTGCCTTGTATTCCTCTATTTTGCCTAGAAATGCATCTTGCCATTTGACCATCATGCTTGCATGTTTTTGCCTAGCTTTGTGAAGCTTTTAGTCATATTTCATCATGCTTGAGGTCTATTGAGTATTGATTTGATCATGTTTGCCATGTTTGGTATAGCCCCTTTGTATTTTGGTTTGTGAGCCTTGAGTGTGTGGGTCATTAGTATGCTTTACTTAGCTTATTCCCATGATTTGGCATCATTGGAGACCATATTTTAGTCCATAATCCATGCTTGTGCACTTGCATTTGGCTCTCTTTCAATGCTTGAAAGTGTTGTAGTTTTGTGCCTCAAGAGTTGGTCATTGTGTATGATACCATGTTTAGTCTTTGGGCTACCATATCAGTGGGTTTTGGGGGCTTATTTTGCATGTTAAAACTCTGATTTTGCATTGGTTAGTCCATGCCACGTGTGGTTGGGGTGGTTGTAATAGAGTGCCCTCTTTGTGGCCCTAAATCCCCCTTTGCTTTGCATCCATTTCTTAGCATGTCTTGACCATGATCTATGCATGCTTTAGTCTTGTTTGGGAGTGCCTTAGGACTGCTTTAAGTCATTTTGGTCCTTTGGGGTTTGGTTGACATAGCTATGGTTTGGACCCCTTTGTTGGCTTCAAGTTTTGGTCATGGTTGCATGCCTTACTTGCATGACATGGTTGATTTGGCATCATCCTCTATACATTTTCAGAGCTTAATATGTTAGTCAAGCATCCATGTTTGTCATCATGTGAGTGCTCTTGAAACTTGCCTTTCATACCTTAGCCTTAGGCTCATTGGTTTGCGTGTTTATTTTGCATGATTGGCATCATCATTTTAGTACTTTTGGCCACTGTTTTGGGGTGTGGCTGAGGTTCCTCCATCTTAGTGTAGATCAATGGATCATGCATTTGCATCTTGTAGTATGCTCATTACATTGTATGATTGTTGCATCCTTGTAGTTAGT